GGTTGGAGTTCATTTTTACATTAGAGGTAATATAAATAAACCTTAACTGAGCCTGAGGGGCACTGGGAATTAACAGAGGGTTAGGGAAGATGTATTTATTGTATGAGTTAGCAAACAGTTTTTTTTCTGGAAATAGGAGAAAGAGGATGTTTCTTCCATTCAAATAAATATTTAACCACTTATTGATGGGATTTATAATGAATCATGATTTTTATTTGATAATTATGCAACCAAAGAAAAACTAGTGACTGCATTAGGCAGAACTCTTTATTACCTGATGAGAGCTATGGAATGAGAATCAGCTTTATTCCTGTTAATCTGCCTATGGGTTGTTACTTGGATAAAATTGCACCTTTGAGTCATTGTTTTCAGACTACATATAGAGTGCTCTTTTGACTTATGTTCACTTTTAAAGTTAAAGCTCGGATTTGTCTATATTAGTTAAAATCTCCACCCTGCTTAGACAAGTTCTCAGAGGATATAGGTAAATTCTATTGTGCAGCAGACAAGGCCGCTGTCGGATGGACCTGTTTACCAGACAGGCAGAGGGCTGTCACCTGTTATCTCAGCACTAAGGCCTGAGGCAGAAGGAACTCACGTTCAAGGGTGTTATGATTATGCCACCCCCTTCCCCATGTGCTTATCCTGGGTTGTATATCTCTTATGTACACATACTCTTTGCTTTCCTCTGTACTGTACATAAGAAAGTTTCCTAAGTCAGACGTTTACAGTCCACAGTTAAAAAAGACATTCTTTGAGGATTTCATATATGCATGTAATAAAATATGGTCATATCTGCCCCCATTTCTCCCTCCATCTCTGCCCTAACTTCATATGCTCCTCATTTTTAAAATAAAAGAACCCATTAAGTCCAGCTCATGCCACTCATCTGTGCATGGTTGCAGGGTCACCCACCGGAGCATGGAGCATGGGAAACCTACCAGTAGGCACATGTCCTGAAAAGAATGGTTCTCCTCCCAGCAGCGATCATCTATTAATGGCTCCTCAGTTTGGGCTGGGGTCTTGGGCTCCTCCCCATCCATGCTGGAGTTTTGGCTAACTTGATTTTTTTGCAGGTAACCACAGCCATTGTGAGTTAATGAGTGCAATATCCATTTCCTGTCCAGAAGACAGAATTTCACAACACTCTTACCTATCTTGGCTTTTACTTTCTATTTCCTCTTGTTTGAAGTTCCTTGAACCTTGGTGAGGAGTTCAGAATGATGTGTCATTTAGGGATGAACACTCATAGTCATTTAGTCTTAACACTTCGACCAGTTATGAACCTCTGCACTGACTGCTGCCTGCTCTATAGAGGTGCTTCTCTGACCACGGCTGAGAGCAATCTAGGTCTATGGAAATAAGCATCACTATTTAGAAAGCTGTTTGACACCAAGACCATCTAGCAAAATGACACAATAGATTCCGCACTAGGGCCTGTGATCTCCAGAGGCATAAGCTTTTGACTAGTACAGGGATGAATTTATAGAAGCAGGCAGGAATTCCCATCTATGGAACAGAGCTCAAATCCTCCAGTCCATATTTTGAATGAGGGGATTACTGAGACATCTGTGTTATCCATCAGGGCTTTATGGAGAGAGCATGATCCCCAGGCCACTGGCTTGATGATTCCTAGGTGTCTTGGCAAAAGACACAGAACCTGGTGGTTGAGGTCAAATATAGTCAGGATCAAGCACATCTGGCTCTTTGGGTTCTACTGTGAAATGTGAACTAGGAGCAGTCATGGAACTCTGTCCTGCCTTTTGTGGACCAGACTCGAGTAGATGAAAAATGTAAGTTACTGTTATAGAAACCCTCTGAGTGATGGAGAGCAGGGTGGCTGCTCCTGCGTGGTCTGGAAGGTATACCCCAGGGGCAGCCTAGAGCTCGATGGTCAGAAGTATTTGCTATTTCTGTTGTATTTGCAGTTAATGAGCTCTGAACTAACTGCAGAGGTTAATCATCTTAATAATCCTTGTATGTCCAGAGGAGAGCTTCCTGGTGGTCTTGAAACACTGTGTATGAAATCATCTAGTGGCATTTGAAGACCATTCACACCATCCCAAGGAAAGTGTTCATTTCTTTACTACTTTCTCCAGTGAAGGAGAGAGAGAGAGGGATCTTCTCTAAGTTTCATTACAGATGTTGCATTTTTTATTTTAACTTTTTAGGATCACCTATGCATAGAAAGACAATTTTTAGTTGTTGTTATTCCAAGAACTTAAACAAAAACTTAATTAAAAATTATCAATCAGGAATTGTGTGTGGCCAATTCAAGCATAAAATTCACCATCAAGGAAAAGTTTTTATCAGAAGCAAGTTCAAGTTGCCTATTAGAATTTTAATGGGATTTTGTTTAGACATTTCCCATGGGTTTAACATTTAATGTTTTCCACAGTAAAATTCATCTTTTCTCATAATTAAGTTTTACAAAGAAAATTTAGTGAGCTTTTCTCTACTAATAATGTTACTAAAGCAACTACTGTATCTTTTTTCCTACCACAATAAAAACGTTTTTACACAATACTATATAATGCCCAAATAATTTCTTTATAATTTTCTATTGTGGGGATAATAAGGACCCTTGTAATATGTGATTTGCAGGTTATTTTAACAGAAAAGCCTTATCGACTTACACGACAATCTGGTGAGTAAAGAGGGTTGCTGTCTTTCTCTGTAAAGAGGGAAAGAGAGAACCACAAGGTGGAGGTTTTTCAGCCTTCATGGAAAATACAAATAACCCATCTCTTGCTTTCTGTACTTGTACTTTACCCAATAGCCACAATTACTCAGAAATAATTCTCCTTTTATCCAAATGAGAAAACTCAGATGATATTGGCTACTATAAATATATCACTTGTATTAGTTTTCTTCTTGTTTAAGACAAAATACTTTAAAAAATAATCCGAGGGAAGGAAGAATTTATTTTGGCTCACAGTTAAAGAATGTGCAAGGCATGGCATTGAGAATGGGAAGCAGCTGGTAACACTATGTCCATAGTCAGGAAGCAGAGAAAGATGAATGTGGGTACCCAGTTCCTTTCCCCTTTTGCCTGTGTTACTCAGTCCAGGATCCCAGTTCCTGTACAGTCGGGATGGGTTTTTATCTCTCAGTTAAAAATTTGTGTAAATACCCTCAAAGACATGCCAAAAGGTGTGTCTTCAAGTTACCAATGAAGATTAACTGCTACAAAGACCACACTTACTAGTTGTTGAATTATATAATCCTGGAAACCCAAGTAAGTAAGTACATAATATTATTACTAAGATTGTAAGAGAGGGAACGGGAGAATTATTCTTACATGGGTGGGGACATTTGACTGGTAGAAACAGCACTTCACTAAGTCTCAAGAAAGGGCACAAAAAGTATGTGACCTGAGAAAGCATGAACTGATATATTATTGAGAAAAATCAAGGAAGCATATGCATCATCCATAATTTTCAGGTCATGTGAGTCTTGGGATAAAAGAGCTACTGCACTAGCCAATTACAATCCTAGTCTACTTTTATTATTGAAGGATGGCTTTCTTGGAGGCTCCACTTTAAACCATCAGAGAGTAGATCTCATTAACACATTTGTTAGTTAAATGTTTATTGAGATCATAGTTAAAAAAAACAGACCTTGTTCCTAGGCTCTTAGTTACATAAACAAGGCAGAGAAAGTAATTCTTGAGCTTTTCTAAGATGCTTTTAAGGCAGGATAAAGGGAAGCAGATGTTCAGACAGGTCATGTGGAGATTGCAGTAAGAGTAGTTAAGAGACCTCTCATTTGTGTGTGAGGTGGCACCTAAGGAATGAGGTGGGGTTTTTCTAGAAGATGAAGTATGTCAAAGACTGAGAAAGTGGGTTGTTTCTTTGGTCAGAAGGAAGAGCAGACACACGTCACAGAGCTGAAGACCATGGTACATTTGGGGAAACTACAAGAGTTTGTTTAGAAATGAAGCTGGGAGGGTGCTAGGCTTCCTTTTAGACAGAAAGAAGAATTTACCTGTCACAGTGACTTGCTGACCTTACTCTGAAAAATGTGTCCAGAAAGGCCCAGGGAGGCAATCAGAATAAAATGAAGATCATAGTTGTGGGGTCCTGGCAGAGACGAATTTCTTCACTTTCTCTCTATGCTTCATTTTGCAGAAGGATTACAGGCTCTCCAAGCTGATTCAGAAATACATAGAATGAGAGAGTTGATCCGGTCATAAAACGGAGTGTTTTTAGATCAGGGAGAGAGACTGCTTGTCCCTAGAAAATCAGTCAAGTGGCAAATCTAGCACAGTGGGTACTTGAGTCAGCCAAAGCAGATCTGGTTTCAGTGCCCCTTTGCTCTGTAGAGCAGTATCTAGAGCAATAATCATGAAACGGAATAGCATGTTCCGTGGGTGAACTGAAATGTGAACTTGCCAAATAAAAATACTCCACTTTACAGTCCACAGTGTTTATTGTTTGAAACTCTGAACAAAAATAGTCATATACAGTGCCACAGGGAAATCTATCAGAAAGAACACCCTCAAAAAGGAATGATTCTCCCTCTCCACTGTGGTTATCAGCTGTCAATAGATGCCCGGTGAGGGGTGGGACCTGGACAGCACCTCCTCTGTGTTGCCTGGCTTGATCTTGTGCTGGTCTTGTAAGGTAACCACAGCTTCTGTTAGTTCATGAGTACAATGCTAGGTGATGTTCTGAAGACAGCATTTCACAACCTTCCTCACCATCCTCAGGCTCTTATACTCTTTTTACATCCTTTTTCTTGATGTTCCTTGAACTTTGGTGGTAGGCTAGTGTTGATGATGATAATGTCTCATTTAGGATATCTATGCATGTTGGACTTATGGGTTATAAAAAGAAGGGCATGAAGTTGGGAGGAATCCGTGTTGGGGGAGTTAAAGGAGGGAAATGGAGGGTGGGTATGATCATATTTCACTAAATATGTGTATGAAGTCCTCAAGAGTAAAGGAAAATTACAATAAAAATAAATAATTCAACTAAATAAAAATAAATACTCATACTTCCTGGTCACCTAGGGTGACATATTGAAGTAACTCCAATGCTATCTTTGCCAGGAATGTGATATCATTGTTTTTTGGATTTTTATCCATTGGTTGAATGTAGGACTGTGTACTACCACAGAGGGTGGGAAAAAAAACCTCCATCTGCATCCAAGGTAAGTTTGAATGGTTCCCAGTGATTATAAACTTATTGTCAGAATCGCTGTGTGCAGCTAGACCTACCTACATCAGGCATCTATTTTAGAACTGAGATATCTCCAAATTAATTCTTATTTTATTAATAGACAAAAGGAATGCACTAATTTGAAACCCATGCACACATTCATAAAATCCAATGATCATCAAATCAATTGTTGAGAACTTGAAGCGCTAAATTTAGGGAATAATGTATTAGTTCATTGACATAATTCACAATTGTCGGTGTATGTTGACAATAAACACAGGCTGACATTTGGCCAGGTGTGTTATTGTTTTGAAATTCTCCATGACAATGTGCTTCCCTATAGCACATAACAAGGGACGCCGATAATGCTCTAGCATTGCTCACCAGTACTGCCCCAGGTGTCACAAGATTTAAAAATGTTTTCTTTGAAAAATTTGTTGGCATGTACAACCCAATATGATCATATATACCCTTCATTTCTCTCTGTAACTTCCTCCTTATACTTCCCCATACTTCCCCTCATAAATCCATATCTTTAAAATATAATTGACTAAGTTCAGTTAGTGATGCCTGGTGCATGAATATGGAGCAATTACTGTAGTGTGGGAAACCATTCAGTGACTACACCCTAAAAATAAAATGATTCTTCTTCTTTCTGTGATTATCCATTGCCAATAGCTCCTCAGTCAGGGGTGGGGCCTGCAGATCATCTACCTTATCTATGCCAGAGTTTTAGATGGTTTGATCTTGTGTATGCAACCATGACAGCTGTCAATTCCTGAGTGAGACAGACTGTCATGTCCAGAAGACAGCACCTCATAATATTCCTCTTTATCTATCAGCTCTCTCATTCTTTCTGCCTCTACTTCCAGGCTTTTCTCTGCACCTTGGTGGTGGCTCTGTTTAGATATTCTGTTTAAGGCTGAGCACCCAGTCTCTCATTCTCAGCACCTGATGAGTTATGCATCTCTGCAATGACTGCCGTCCACCGCAAAAAGATATTTCTCTGATCAAGGTTGAGAGCAGCCCAGGTCAATGGGCAGAAATACAAATACTTAGAAGGTGATTTGCCACAGAATCTTCATGCATGGATTCACGAGCTAAACAAGTAAGTTCAAATCACATCTTTTAGATTTCATAACTATTCCACCTTTGGCAAGTTCTTTGCTTCTACAATTTATACTCAATAAATATAGTTACAATAGTAACTTCATCATAAGATTATAGTGGAGGCTGAATTAGTTGGTATGGATGGTGTTCACGTGAATTCTTCATCAGCTTTTCAATAATCAGGTCTAAGAGGTTGAAATGGAACACAATAAGAGAATGAAGTGTAGCAGATAAAGGGGCTAGAGTTCAGGCTTATCCTATATTAGTGTAGTCTTTTTCTGGTCTCTAAATAACGGATTATTATCATTATATAGACAAGTGGAATGACTGTTTTTAACAGGCCAGATGACTCAGAACCTTGAAGTCTGAAAACAGTGTCTTAGTGAGATTGTTTTGTGCAACAGTTATACTATTAAAATATGACCCACAACGTTCTCTATTCTTCTTATTGACTATGAGCTATAAATGAAAGTCACATATGTAATTTTAATTTATAGTAGCCATATTTTAAAATGAAAATGATTTATGTGAAATAAATTTTAATAACATATTAGCACAGAACTGTAAAAAAGTATTAACACTATAATTAATATAAAATTTGTAATTTAAATCATGCCTAGTGGGGCAGGTCTGAAATACTAGCTACTCTGAAGGGTGAAACTGGAGATGTACAAATTCAAAACTGACCTAGGAAACTTATTAAGAACACTTCTTAGAATAAAAAAAATGAATAAAGGGGACAAGACATAGAGCTCAGTGGTAGAGGGCTTGCCTACCGTGCTCAAGGCTTTGGTTCAATCCTCAGTAACACACACACACACACACACACACACACACACACACACACACACAGATACAGACAGACAGACAGTTGTAATTAGATATGACTTTCTCTGGTGTTTATTGCATATTGTACCCTGGGGTCAGTCTCAAACAATCATGTCACAATTGCTCACCAGGCGTAGGCAACTAATGGTCACTGTTCTAGATAGTACAGGTAGAGATCAATGCCCCCAAAGGTGGAATATACTGAAAATGTAAAGCAACTTCAACATTCTTTGGTGGTGCCACATGCTGCATTTATATCATGTTCAGTTGAGTGAACATCCTGAGACAGTCAGGATGTCAGAGAGATGTCATGAACCTTGACATTTGCTATAACATAGGTGTATGCCAATCCAATGATGTCACAGTGTTATTTTAAATGTACACTTTTGAGTTTTGTGCTGAGGAAAAAATGGAAATGTACCATTTCCTGCCCCCTTGGCAAATAGGGTTTTTTGGGTTGCATTTTAAGATGAACAACTATCCCAGTTCATCACACTATTTTTTTATGGCGCATCGACCATTATACTGTAATAATTTTGTTTAGCAACACTGTTGGTTTCTTTATGAGTCTTGGCACTTGTTTTATTGTCCCAATTATTTTTTCATAATGACTTCTGTCAGTTATTTTTTACTGTCTACTAAAAATTTGAGGAGGATAAATAATACATGAAGGAATGAGGGAACAAAACATTCTAAAAGGCACTCCTGCTACTCACTTCTGGTAAAACATTGGACTGCATAAAACACAAGCCAATCTGACACATGACTTAGTTGAATTCTTATGAGTAATTAAACCTCAAACTGTAGATTCAGAGATTGTCTGAGACTGGCCAGCCTGAGGGATGACGAGTCTGAATTTCATGGTTGGTGGAGCCTCAGAGAAGTTTATTGACTTTCTTAAAGGCTTTGAGATGGTTGATGGAAGGGATTCTGCAGAACAGCCTTTCTCTCAGCATATGAACTACTTCTACTTCCCTTTCAGTACAATTCTCACGAGCTAATCTTCAAGGAGTCAGCTCACTTTAAAGGGTGACAAAAAGTAGGGTAATTTAACCTTGACCTTTGCTGGAGTATGAGGAGGAAGTAGCACATTTGATGAGTAAACTTTGCTGCATCAGAATGATTTTACTCTGTGAAGCAGTCTAGATTTTCAGTTCTTGATAATAGAGTCATTATTTTTTCAAGATAGCACTCCCTTGGAAGTTTAGACCATGAATGTTGGATTTTATCAAGCGTACTTGATAAAATCACTACCATGCTAATTGCTGAAATGAGTTAATAAAATCTGGCATTGGTTTTGGAGAGTATGCAGACTTTCACATCCACTAGAGGGAAATAGGCTGTAGACTTTTAAAGAGCGTTTTGATAACATAAATCAAAAGCTTTCAAAATGCGTGTAGCCATTGGACCAAAGCGATAGTTTCTAGTTGATTCTTCCTGGTCAGCTTAGGTACTCTGTGTATTTACATTGCATGAAGTGCTTCCCATGGTACTGGAAGGTGAACACCAGGATAAAATCAAATCTCCTGCATACTATGTGAGTGCTTTGACACTCACATACTTCTCCAGCCCTGTCACCATGTCTGATCCTTCTCAAGACCAGGGATCTAGGTATGTCCAGATGCTACCCATTTTATACATTAAGGACCTGAGAGCTAAGCAAATTTGAACAACTAGATTGTATCTGTACAACCAATAAGCAGAGGAGTGTTGTTTTTTAATGATTTGTCTTCAAATCCAGAAATGTGAACATTATGGTGAATGTTCTACAATATTTTATACACATTTCATATTGAGGGAGAAATGATGTAATTATATTGCAATTTCAAAAATAGTAAAAAAAAAAGAATTCAATTAAAATGCAGAATACCCAGTTAAGTTTGAATTTGGTATAAATGAAGAACAATTTTCACTTCATGTTTCCAAAGATTGCAAGGAATTCTATGCAGTATAAGATGAATATCCATCTTTAAATCTTATTTGTTTATCTAAAATTGAAACTTAGTGAGGTGCCTAATATTTTTATTTGCTAATTGCTGTGAGCATCAGAGTCCCAGGCCTTAAGATATTTCAGAAGAATTGCAGGAACAGTATGTGGGAGCATTCTGCTCAGCCACAATCTTGATCCAGCAGAGGACAACAGCAGTTACCTGTGGTGGTATTGTGTTCCCCAAAATATTGTGCACCCTAATAAACTTATCTGGGGTCAGAAAACAGAACAGCCACAATATTAAACATAAAGGTTAGGCAGTGGTAGCACACGCCTTTAATCCTAGCATTCCAGAGGCAGAGATCTACCTGGATCTCTGTGTGTTCAAGGATACAGCCAAGCATGGTGACTCATGACTTTAATCCCAGAAAGTGAGCCTTTAATCCCAGGGAGTGATGGCAGAAAGCAGAAAGGTATATAAGGCATGAAGACCAGAAACTAGAAGCTTTTAGCTGGTTAAGCTTTTAGGCTTTGAGCAGCACAGTTCAGCTGAGATTCATTTGGATGAGGACTCAGAGGCTTCCAGTCTGAGGAAACAAGATCAACTGGGGAATTGGCAAGGTGAGGAAGCTGTGGCTTGTTCTGCTTCTCTGATCTTCCAGCATTCACTCCAATAACTGGCCTCAGGTTTGATTTCATTAATAAGATCCTTTAAGATTCATGCTACAGTTACCAAAGGTTGTAGCAGACACACTTCGTAGACCACTCACCTAAGCCAGAACCTTCATCTAGGGCAATAGTTCTCAACCTTCCTAATGTTGCAACCCTTTTGTATGAATCTTCATGTTGTGGTGACCCCCAGCCATAAAATTATTTTCATTTATACTTCATTATTGCAATTTTGATACTGTTGTGGAATCATAATGTAAATATCTATGTCTTCCAGTGGTCTTAGGTGACCCCATTCAATTCCCAAAGAATGATCTAGAGAAAGTGTAAGAATATCTTATGTCACATAACCATGCAAAAATCAATCTATTCTCTCTAAGGGGGATATTTGAATTGCTGAAGAGTTACGAGGGAATAAACAGTGTCATATACCTAATAAGCAGAGAAAACATTCTCATGGTGGTGAATAGAGAGATACAACCCCACAAGTCATAGTGAATTCATATACTGGGCAAATAATTGAAAGGGAGAGTTGGATAATAAAGAAAAATATAATGTCAATACTGAAATTGCTAAAGAAGTGAACAGACATACTATAGATAGATGAGTCTTACGTGGTTTCCTAGAAACACATCTGGTAACATGTGCTGGAGTTAGTTTGAGAATACATTGTAAGGATGTGAGGAATGGTTGGATTCAACAGATGGGGAAGTTCACCCAGTAAATACAGAGAACACAGTCCACAGTGTGTGAGCACTACAGACAGGATGATTCTTCAGGGTTATCCCAATCTGAAGCAAGAAACCCAAGTTTTCTGCACAGACTAGTTATTGGATATAGGCTGCCTATGAAGGTATGTAGTCTTTGTCATGGTACATCTGTCTGGCTGAAGGCAATTTCTAGAGAGCAAGGCAAGTTGGCACTATCTGCTTTCCCAGGAGCTGGAAAGAGGAATGAATCAGTATTGAAGGAGACTTAAGAGGCGGGTATTGTTCAATACAGCATGCTCTATAATTTATTCTTGTCTTTACTCAGATTTACTTGCTTTCCATTTAAAATTTTCCCCCACTGGGATCAACTTCTCAGGATCCTGTATGGTACCTCCCTGGAGGAAATACAAGGAAAGATTAGAACAATGAATGCTGTCCCTTTCCTTTGTAGTTGAGCTTGGAGTGTAAATGTTGGAGATCACAAGGCCAGAGCTCTTGGCCACTATGACTTGAACCACAACTTTAATATATGACCACTTTCTGTCAAGATTAGGCAAAGAGTGATACCTACTTGTGTATCAGATTAATTTTTATTTGTACTCATATGAAATGGAAGAGAATCTTTTGTGAACATCAGGGCCATTACCCAACTCATCCAGATGATCCATCGCTCATTTCCAACAGCACAATGAGTCTATTGTATGTTGGCATTCTAGCAAAATGGGTCTGAAGTAACCATTTGATAGCCACAGCCTGAAGTTTTGGAGGATGTTTACTCTGTCTCCTATCTGGGCATTTGGTGGTGTAGACAGCCTGGAAAAAGGAAGGTGACTACATGCAGGCTTAGCATCCCCCATGTGTGGACAGTTCTCAGCCACACTTGTACTGTACCTGAATCATCAAACATAGGTTTGGAGGGAAGCTCATGATATTTGCTACTATGCATTCATATCAAGAACATGACCAGTGACTGAAGAGTGTAAAAGTCACTTCCAAATCATTGAGAATGAGTAGCAAGATAAGTCAAATGTCTCTGGGCTTCAGTCAAAGAAGTCAAGAGGCAGTTTACAACCCCAGCACCATAGGAAATTTAGTGAAGAAACTGTCGAGTAGGTTGTGTTTATACAGTTAGGAATATATTTGCAACTAAAACTAGGTTTTATATATATGTAACTGTTGTTAAAGAAATAGAGACAATGACTTTGAGAGAAAGAGCAAAGGGGGATACATAGGGAAGGTTGGAAGGAGGAAAGGTAAGAGGGAAAATTATATATATACATATATATAAAGTATACCATTTCTCCTCACCCTTTTCTCTTCCCAAACTCTCTGATATGCCCCTCCCTATTCTCCTTCAAATCCATGGCTTCTTTTTCTCACTAATTGTTTCGGCATGGATATATGTTTATGTAGACATACTCCTAAATATAACCTGCTTAGTCCATATGATCTTACTTATACATATGTTTTCAGGACTCACCATTTGGCACTGGAAAACCAATTGGTATAACCTTCCCCAGGGAAGACTACTTCTGCCACTCCCAGCTTTTCGCAGTTGCTTGTAGTTCTTTGCGTAGGGTTGAGGCCTTGTGGGCTTTTCCCGTTAGCATTGTCCTTGTTCAGTTCACATTTGAGCATTCAAGTTGATGAGACTTTGTGGGTATAGCTTCTGATATTACCGGGTGACAAAATCGCATAGCAAGCTCTCTCATCCACTGGCTCTTGCCGTCTTTTAGGTCCCTCTTCTGTGATGTTCCCTGGCCCTTTGGTGCAGAAGTGCTTTGTAGATGTATCTATTGGAAGTGGGTTTGCCAATTCAGCATTTTGATTGGTTGTGGTTTTCTACAGTGGTCCTTGTCTAGAAATGGAAGAAGGGAAATGATGTAATCATATTTTAATTTTTTAAAATTAAAAATATTTTAAAACTAAAAATAAATAAATCCTAAGGGAAAAAACTGTGGTCAATAAGACAGTGGGTGACAGAGACAGGCAATTTAGAGGAAGGCTGTAGCATGAGAATTTATGTATGGTATAAAATGCACAGTGAAAATAAAGTCAGACAGGTCCAGCTACCCAGTGTGGCCCTCGTATCGCACAACTTGGTCCTCTCACACTACTATATGCTACTGTGCTTGTTTACTGAATGGCATCATTTAGAGATCTGTGTGTAGAATGCACATTTTAATATTTGGACCACTCTGACATAAAACATGTGTCTATTGTCTACTTCTCTTGTGTTACCAGATAACCTTTGAGGCAAGCACTTTGAAACAATCCATACCTAGGAAATTACAACAGACTGGAAGAAGAACAAAATCAGAGCAAGGCTCCCTAAGATACCAGTTTCATTTGATCTTTAATGTGTCTGATATGAAAAGGGTAGAGGAATAGACCATGGATCTCAGACCAGAGGTCGGTCCGTAAACATGCAGACCACAGTGGGATTGTGATAAGTTTAGGGTTTCTGCTGGTATGATGGCTAGGTATAGGACTAGCCCTTGTGGATAAATGCATTTACAGAGTGGAGTAAAGACTGAAAAATTTGTGCTGGGGTTTTATCAGAATTAAAGTTCACTAAGATATAATATTAGGAATTTCATAAGCGTTCATTTAAAACTAGATAATAGAACCAATAATCATCTTTTCCACTTTAAAACAAAAAAAAAAATTTAGAAAAAAGACCCAGAACCAACCTACCATTTTACCTTACTTAATTGTTTTCACCTTATGCAAAAGTAGTTATTTATTTATTTATTTATTTATTTTTCAATTTAAAGGGGAGAGAGAATAACAGACATAAACAGGAAGACCATTGTTTCCTGCTTTGCACAGATGGAGGAAGCTGAATCGTCCAATCCCATGTTCATCACCCTTTTCCTTGTTTCTTCATTTCAAGCCCATAGTGACTGCCCTCTGTGATCATTTGTTTTTATAAAGAATTTAAGAAATGAATATTTTCTCACTGTGCTATGTGGTCTTTGTTTCCTCTCTAAATCCACATGTTGAAAGCCCCAGAGTGATAGGTAGTATTTGGAGGAGGACTCTCTGGGAGATGATGAGATAGGAGTGTGGAGCCCTGAAGGGAGGGATTAGTGCCCTTATAAAGCAGATCCCAAGGAGCTTAATTCTCTTCTATTGTCAGAACCAGAAAAATGGACCTCCAAAGACACTGAATCTGTCTTGACCTCAAAGTTCTCAACTTTTAGAACTGTGAGTAAAGAAATGTTTCCTGTTTCAGCCTTTCAGCTGTAACACTGGCTGGAGCCAATGAAGACACAGCCACTAGAGTTTTGTAATGCTCAACTGGGTAGAGCAGTTGACAGGTGAGTTAAGAAGTATATAAACTAAAAGACCAAAACAAAGAAACCTCTGAAGATCATGTTCCCAAGTGGTTACTTTTCACCCAACAGCCATGGACTGAGTTCCACACAAATCTTTTGGGGCCCCTGTTGTGTCCTGAGAGCCATTGTTATGAAAATTTTATTTCTCACACAAACGAGCTCTTAAGTTGTTTTCAAAGTTACTTTCGCAATTACTCTTTGCATTTTAAGTAATGAAATTAATCTAATTTAAATACTCTTTTTAATGGCAAGCCTATTGCATGTCTACATTGATTTTTCTCATTTCCATATTATTCTCAATCTCATTTCAGCCTGCTTCCCTTGTCATTGCTATTGTTTATTCTGATGGTTGTAACATTTTATTTATTTTTATTGAAGTTGACAATTTTTAATCGTATAAGTGTATGGGACAAAAATGACATTATGATTTATGAATTTAATGTATAATAAAGAAAGAAGTTAGTTAACATATCTGTCATCTCAAATGTTGGATATATTTTGCTATGAAGTCATTTAAAATTTATTGTCTTAGCAAGTCTCAAATGTATTCTATTATTAATTATATTCTGCATATTGGGACACAAAGTGATGTTATGATTTATAGACACATTGTGGGACAATGAAACCAAGCTAGTAAGCATAGCTGTCAGTTACCTCAAATAATGAACATGTTTTGTCATGAGAATATTTAAAATTTACTCTCTGCAAGTTTGAAATGTGAACACTCTATTATCAATGCTCTTCAGTGTGTTGCTGAATAGAGATGAAGACAAACAAAACATGTTTCTCCTGATTGAGGTCTTATACCCTCCTGCTATCATTTCCCTGGTTTTGAATGGCAGTATTAAATATGTTCGAATAGAAAATTCTAGGTGCCACACCAACTCCAGTGTCGTCCGTGTGACATTAACAATTATGTCAATAGCAGCGGACGGGAGATACGTGTCCCATGGGACTAAGCTCCCTGGAGGTCCCTGGCAGAGTGCCTGCATTATGCTTCCTTCTCAGAGAAGATGTACTTCACAGATCATGAGCTCCCTGGGCTATGGATTCTGTATAACTGCTTTTCTGATAATGTTCTAATTAATCTATGAAGCACAGCCAAAATTAATGAATGCTCGGGTTGTGAACTATGGAGGAAAGGGGAAGCTGAACATGGATCTTAACCAGATATAGCAGAGTGAGCTATTTCTTAAAGACCCCAAGCCGCTAGATAAAGAAAGTATAAAGGTTCAGGCACTTCTAGGGAATGAACACTCACCCACTAGGAATCCTTTAAGAATTCCAACTAAAGTGGCTTATGGTAGAAAACGTTATCTCATAGGAGGCAGATGATGGGCCTCTCTGTTGAGGAAGTTCAGCATGGGAAACTTAAGGACTACAGCAGAACCCCTTCCCCTTACAGGTGAAAAAGTACAAGAGTCCATATTCCAGCAGGCAAAAAGGTTTTATGTTAAAAGAGATATGTGGTGGAAGAACTGAAGAAAGACTTAGAGCGGGTCTACAGCATCCAAATTGGCTAAGTGGGTCATGAAAACCAAAAAAGTAAAAACGTATAATAAACTAAAAAACTGCTGAGATAAGATAAAGGACACAGCTACAACTGCAAGAAGTCTACACAAATCTGGGGACTGTATTAAGTTTAAAAAACACAGACTGCTCTTTGGGTCATAAAGTTCTTGTGAGTGAAGGGATATGTCTAGCACCGATTAATAATTATGTACTTGCTGTTTTTTAAAGATGATGTAATTGAATTATTGCCAAGTTCTTGTTGTTCCTTGTATGACTTGATAGTTTTCTTTTCTGTATATAAACTACTGATTTGCAGAAGTAAAATTGCAACAGATTCAAACCACTTCTGAGTGTGTTGTCTGTCTGTCATTCGCCGAATCCTTGCCTTCCTGACTACCCAAGTCCTGGTTCTCCTACAGTTGTGGTACCCCCGATGGGCCAGTCCATGGCATCTAGGCAAGTGGAGGTTGGGAGGAACATCTTATTATAGATGCATATTCTTATATCTCTGGACCCCAAATTTATTTCTGAAATTTTCTATGTATTAGGAAATGTTAAGAAAGTTGAACCAGAGTTCTCCTATGAGTTTATAGTATTGATGGAAGGATACAGAGACATGATGCATCAGATATCCACAAGATCTGTAGTTAAAGTGAGATCCACATTGAGACTGTCTAAGGCAATCATGAAATACACTACAGAGGAAGTGATATCTGAGCAGGAGCTTGAAGTTTAGACAGGAATTCTCATGATAGAGAAGAGGATGAGGAAGAACACTCTTGTGTATGTGAGCATTAGCTGATGACTCTAATTTGGTTAGAGTTGGTAATGTCCACATCCCCTAGGGTAAAGGAAAATTTAGGACACATTAGTTTATCAGAAATGAAAAGGACTGACTTTGGCAAAATCTGATGACTTAGAAAGAAAGAAAGAAAGAGATGGGGGGAGAGGGAGGAAGGGAGGGAGGATAGAGGAAGGAAAGGAGGAAGAAAAAAAAGAAAGAAAATTCAGCATAAAATATAAACTTTAAGATGATTCCAGGTGGGAGACAAGCAAATATGCTTCTAGGTATAGTCTGACCAGGAGTCCAGGCTGTGTCAGGGCTGTCTTTTCTATGTAGATGTCTCTGTGATGTTGAGACACAAAGAATTCAGACTAAACTCATGTCCTTCATCAGACTAAGAGTTTTAAATACTGTGAAAGAAACTCATGGCCCACCAAAGAAATCTTATACAACATTAGTGGCAGAAAAATGATTTTAAAATATATTTTCTGTTTAAAGGTCAAGCCCTTAAAATGCTTAGAGTTTTTGACTTTATATTTAAGGAAGAACGAAGATTCTTCATGGCTACAAATACTGGTTTTGCTCTGTTATTTGAGATACTGCTTCTGAAGCACCTAAAGGATCTCATGACCTCTGTGTTGTAGCCTCTTGTTAACTCCAGGCATGTATAGACACTCTGTAGGGTGTACTTTGGGCACACAAATGGTTAGAATTTCAAAACCAAACTTCCTGTATATATCTCAACCCTGACAGCTATGTGAATGCACCCTGGGCAGCCTTGAGAAGTGAACACTGTTTCTGTGGTCAACAGCACTGGTGGTGACGGGTGGAGGGCAAAACAACATTAGGATGCTTTCAACTGATAGATCTTCATTATGCTGTCAACAGATCAAAGCCACTTCCTAGCGTTCATCCTGTAGATATTTCTTCAACACCAGTGATCACATATACTTTCCCTTTTCAGGATGAAGTTGCTTTATTGCTGTCTATGATTGCATGGAAGACAATACACTGTTGTGGTAACTTCAGATAATAAATATTGTACAGAAAGTCAGAAAGGAGTCCAACATTCTGTGTGTTCTGGAGCCAGGTTAGTGGAATACTCACCTTGCCATGTGTTAGCTGTGTGCTCTTGGGCAAGCAAAAATCTTCTGTTCTTGTGCCCATGTTTCTTTGTTTGTCAAAAGGGAAATAAATAAAATGGATGTCTCATTGGATCCATAAGTGGTTTGGTGAAATTCTGCATTCAAAATTGCACCATTAAGAATGTTGACTATTACTGTTATTGTGATACTGTTCTTCCCCTGAAGGACGCACTAGTATGATCTTATATGTAAATAAACCATATTAACCAAGCTGATTCAAGACTGATCTTAAAACTTGGCACATTATTGGATCCATTTCCAAGTCAGTGCATTTGAATCATTGTCCTCTTAAGTCACCATCAGTAGTAGGAGCAACGTAAGTTAATCTTCTTTTGCAAAGAACTTATAACAGAAAGTTTGTGTGAGGGTTTGTTAAAAAGAGAGAGAGATGAATGCTGAGCAAGGGGGTGTTATAAGTTTCGCTTCCTTACTGTTTCTTTCCAGATCTAGGAACAGAGGCATCTTTCATGATGAACATTGTTTCCCTCCAACACATGGGGAAGTGGGATGCAGGACAAAAAAATCTCTACTGGAGAGCAAGAAATTCGGGATAGACCCAAATAAGCTCCAGCTTTCTATAGTTCAGTCTCACTAAAGCCAGGACAGAATTCTCTCAAGTTTTATTATTTTTTCGGGGGGAGGTATTTACTGGAAAAGGCTACTGTTTACTCATCTAGTGAACAGTAATTGACATGAATCTTGAGACACTGATAGTTACCCATCTTTGTGACACTCACTCATTCACATCTCTTTTTAACTCTAAACTGTTCTGTTCATATTCTTCACTACCTATATCAATGTAATTTCCCAACATTCTTACTCTCTCTTACATTATACAATTTGCCCATAAAAATCTCTTAAAATTTCCTTCAAACATATCCAAAGTTGAATAATACTCACCATCTACTCTTAAGGTATTTTGGGTCATGCCACTGCTAATTCTAAGAACTTCGCCAACTTTCTCAATTCTTTTCCCTGCCCACATTAGAGATAGTCCAAATTCAAAGAATTAAGAAGGTCTTGCCTCTCTCACACTCAAAATACAGCTATGATTACCTCTTTCTCTAGCAGCAGCAGTCAAAGCCCTTAAAATCGTTTATAATGATCTATCTCATCTAGTTCTTCTCTTACCTCTTCTCCCATGACTATCTCCTGAAGTTGATTTCAGTTATGCAATATCTTTCATCAGTGATTATTAATCTGCATGGATAATGTTTAGTAGTGACTCCATAAGAGTGAAAATATTGTCTCTTGATGAAAGTTCTGAAGTTGTTACAAGAAACCAGAGTTACTGTACTTGTTTCTTATTTGGGGGAATCCCAAAGAGGTCATTAAACATTTGTGATTTACCAGTTTCTTCTATTTTAAGTTCTTCCCTTGTTTATTATATCTGTCATATGATAGGTGCACAATAAATAACTACATGGTGTCAAGTACCAGAATGTATTACAATGCTTTGTGAACAAAGTCTTGAACATTGTAAAGGATTTTTATGGGTTGGATTAATCCTTCAGATCCCCATGTAAGGATGGAGAGGGTGGGGATAAAGTCCCTAAGATTGTTTACTTTTGACATGAAATATCTTTTATCAATTTAGCTTGATATTTTAAAAAGTGACACCTTAAACTCTTCACAATGAATGAGGTGAAGTTTACATTATTATTGGTGCCTACCATTTTTCTGATTCCTTTTCTTTTCCCATCATTAGCTGACTTGACTTCCCTATATCATCTCATTTAGAAGCAATCATGTGACCAACTCTGGCCAATGAAACAAGAGGACATAGTGTTTGCCTGCTTCTCATTTGAGATGGTGAGAAACTTCTGCATATCTCTCCAGTTGGTCTTAGTCGTTTCTTTCAGGGACATTCATGGAGAAGATCTCATATTGAGTTGGGGGAAACTTGAAGAGCTGTTCAAAGGTAAGCCAATACTGAATGAATGAGAAAATAACTTTTCAGGATGTTTAGGTTTCAAGAGTTTTTCCCAAGGCTTCACAACAAAGACAATTCTAAGGAGTTATCAGGAGTGCAGCGGGCTGTACACTGAATCTCGACAGCACTCTTTTCTCACTTTTTATGTGACCCCATTTAGAGCCTCTGTGGTTTACAAAAACACATCTTGACCCCTGTTGGTCTTTGCTAAGATATGGCTTTCTGTGCTTTGAGTCTTTTCCTGGTCAGGAAATGTTTTCATTCTGTTGGAAAAGTTTAAGTGCAACCCTTATGACATTGCTTTTTTTTTTTCCTGTCTGTTCCCATGTTTTTAGTACACTTCAGCATGGCTGTTGATAATCAGCATCTTTCCCTCTCTTTTTGGATTGAGACAATAAATTTATAATTATTTAATTCTCTGGCTCATTTACTAATCAATCCATTGTTGGTAGATAATTTAGAACACTATCTTTCCATTGTGCTGGTTGTAAATTGATAAAAGTCACTGTCACCTGATCAACTTAATTGCTTAGGTTTATATCAAGCTTATCCATTTAAAAATTGACTATTCTTCTTTGTGGCATGCATCTTCCTTCTGAGTTACCAAGGGCTAAATCTCTCAAATTTTATCTTATCATGTCTATTTTATCATCTCTTCAAAGACAGTTTAAGTGGGTATAAAATTCTAGATTGACATCTCTTTTCTTATCTATGTTCTGATGATACATTACTTTATGGTACATTAATATTTAATATCTCTGTCAAGAATTTAATACTGGTCTGAAATATATTCATTATGTTCCCTCTATGACTGCTTCTTTTTCCTTTAATTCCCTGCATTTTTTCACTAAGGTGCCTAGATTCACATCTGCTCTTATTTATCCGGTTTATAAACTCATTGCTATTCATATAGTCGTCCTTGCTCTTGTTCAATGCTTTTAATGGAATATTTTTTAGGATGATATGTTGAGGCACTCTTTTTCAGTTATTTTTCATTTTTCTCTGAGCAATCTCAGAATATTTTTCAGTGTGTAACATGAGATGCATTCTTCTTTAGGATTTGTGTTGAACTAAGGGGTATTGTAAACTGAACCTGGAAACCTGTGGTAAGGAGGTTCATATTTGGATTTCAATACATTTAATAAGTGTAGCAGTAAATTAAAATTGTGATTATACTAGGAAGTCTCACCATCCACTCTTGGACATCACCCCACCTTGTCTGTCTCTATTCTTTGTGTTCTCTCCTTATGAAATTATGAATAAACACATCTTGACCCCTGTTGGAGCATCACATCCCCTTTGTTCTTGCTTCTCTTGTTCTCTCTGTTTTCATAGATATTTTTCTCAAACTTATTACATCATTTCTTTTCTAAAGTATTAGTTGTAGCTATTGTATTGTTTTACTCCCCTGTTGGGATTTTTCTCTTTTCATTTTTTTTTTATTTGTGGGAATTCTGTGTATCTGTTCTTTGATTTACATC